GGGGCCGCGCGTCTGACCACACCCCTCCTCCCAGGGCGTGATCCTGGGCTGCCTGTTCGGCCCCGCCGCCCTCTACATCTGGGCGGTGGGTCTCCTGGCGGCCGGGCAGAGCTCCACCATGACTGGCACCTACGCGGGACAGTTTGTGATGGAGGTGGGGCCTGGGGCCAGGGGTGCGAGGTCAATTGACACATTACGGGGACGCGGGCTTCGTTGATCCTTAAAGCAGTGCAGATCTTAAAGCAGCCATTATAAGCCCCACTTTGCAGACTAGAGATTCAGAAAGGTGAGCGACCGGCCCAAGGCTGCAGGCCCAGGACTAATAGGAGGCTTTTACCTAAAACTCTTCGGTCTGCCGCCATCAGCTGTGGGAACTCCCCCAATTTCTTCCTACCCATTGCCAACTAGGGACAGAGCTGCCCCCCATTTCAGAAATGCAAAAACAGAGGGTTCCCCCAGCATGAGATGGGGTGAGGGGAGACAGGTCCTTCCTCTGGAATCTCCAGCCATCAGGGTGCCCCCCCCCCACACCCCAGGGCTTCCTGAAGCTGCGGTGGTCGCGCTTTGCCCGCGTCCTCCTCACTCGCTCCTGCGCCATCCTGCCCACCGTGCTCGTGGCCGTCTTCAGGGACCTGAGAGACCTTTCAGGCCTCAACGACCTGCTCAACGTGCTGCAGAGCCTGCTGGTGAGGGCAGCCCTACCACCCTGACCCCTTGCGGAGCTAAACAGGAACCACAACAGTCCCCTATATTGAGTTCACCCTCCTCCAGGCACAATCTACACACACCTTGCCAACAAGCCTCACATAATCCCACAGCCAGCCCAGGGGTACGAACCACCGTTGTCCCCATTTTGCAGCTTGGAAAACTGATGCACGCAGTTCAGTGGCCAATGGCAGAACTGGGGTTCAAACTCAGGCAGCCTGGGACCACAGCCCCCAAACACTCTCTCCTGCTCAGGAGCCCCACAAACTTGGAAGGCACAGAGGTGGAGACACAGAGTGGTTATAAGACTTGCCCAAGGGCACACAGCCAGGCAGAGGGTGAAAGGCACTCCGGTCCATCCTCTCCTCCTGGCTGAATTCCGAGGGCAGGGTCCCTCAGCCCCTAACAAGCTCCCCGTTCTCCCCAGCTTCCCTTCGCTGTGCTGCCCATCCTCACCTTCACCAGCATGCCCACGCTCATGCAGGAGTTTGCCAATGGCTGGTGAGTATTCCCCATCCCAGGCACTGGACTTGCATTACCGGATTTGATCCTCACAATCACCCTGAGGTAGGAATTACCATTATCATCCCCCTTATCCCGAGGAGCTCAGAGAGGTTAAGGAAGTTTCCCAGCAAATGGGGGAGCCAGGGCTGAAATCTGGGGGCGAGGGCTGTTTCTAGAACCTGAGCTCTTCACCTTCACCTCAGACTCTGCTCTTGCAAAATCCCACCAGGGTGGAGCCTGCAGGGCCCAAGAGGCAGAAGTGGACAGGGGTCTGCTCCAGATCCACAGCCCAGAGAAGCTGGCTTTGTCATTCCCCCCTCTCCCCACCCCGTCCAGACTGGCCGTGGGCTCTGGAGGAGGAGGAGGTGCAGCAATCCTGAGTCTCCCTCCTGTCCTCCAGGCTAAGCAAGGCCATCACCTCCTCAATCATGACACTGATCTGTGCCATCAACCTCTACTTCGTCGTCAGCTACCTGCCCAGCCTCCCCCACCCCGCCTACTTCGGCCTGGTAGCCCTGCTGGGCGCAGCCTACCTGGGCCTCACCGCCTACCTGGTACTGTAGGGCCAGCAGGTGCCTTGGGGATCGGGAGGGCAAGGAGAGGAGGCAACAGATGGAGGGAAGGAGGGAGGCAGGGAGGGGATGGACTGGGGCTTCCCCAGAGGTCTGGTTCTCATCATCACCCCTCCCCCAGGTCTGGACCTGTTTCATTGCCCACGGAGCCACCCGGCTGGCTCACAGCTCCCACCAACACTTCTTGTATGGGCTTCCTGAAGAGGAGCAGAAGGGGGAGCCCTCTGGATGAACACCCCCTGGACCTGGCTTGAAGGGGGGGAATAAAGGGGGCAGACTGGCCTGTTGGACAGGGGAGTGGGGGAAGTGGAGGCAGCAGATGGAGTGGGAGTTTCGGGGGGCAGGCCAACCTGGGTTCCATAGGGACCTGCTATTTCCCAGCTTGGACAAGTGATGAACCTACAGGTCTTAGTGTCCTCATCTGTAAAGTGGGACATCAACCTTGCAATGGGTGTAAAGCACTTGAACACAGTGCTTGGCAACGGGACTTAAAAAAAAATCCTAAAGTATTTATTGAGCACTTACAGGAGTGACCTGACAGACAGTCCCAGTTGGGGGCAGGCTCCAAACTGGCACTTAAAATACAGTCCGGTGGATGCTAACTCAACGCCAGCTCTATTCTCGTCCAAAAGAAGAGGAAAACGGAAACCAAGAAAACACAAAATCCCATCAAGAAGAGCCACCTGCCCTGGCCGGTTTGGCTCGGTGGATAGCGCGTCGGCCTGCGGACTGAAGGGTCCCAGGTTCGATTCCGGTCAAGGGCACATGCCCGGGTTGCGGGCTCGGTCCCCAGTGGGGGGCGTGCAGGAGGCAGCCGATCAATGGTTCTCTCTCATCATTGATGTTTCTATCTCTCTCTCCCTTCCTCTCTGAAATCAATAAAAATATTTTTTAAAAAAGAAGAGCCACCTACTCCAATGCCTCCTCCTCTAGCAGTCTAGTTCCTCTCGCTGGAGTGGCCTCCGCCTTTCTGATCCACCAGCAATCCCATTTTCCAGGCAGTAAAACCGAGGCGCGGTTCTCGCCCCTCCAGGCGCCGGGTCTAAGGAACCCGAGTCTCTGCCTCCGAGGCCCGATTCACTGGCCGCCTTCCCAGGAAACCAGCGGCCGGACTCCCACGCCGGCCTTCCCACGCCCAGGGCGCGGACTCCCAGCTCCCCCTGGGGGCAGGGACGGTCCCGCGCGCCCGCAAGCTCAGCCGCAGCCTCGCCCTTCCCCGCTGCGGAAGAAAAGGCGGGCACTTGGGCCTCCCGCCCTGAGGCCTCAGAATCCGCCCAGACCAGTAGGGGGTCACGGGGGAGCTGTGTGGGCGGGGAACCCCCGCCGCCGCTGGGAGCCGCCCGCCAGGCCTTCGCCCCTGGCCGGGACTGCACTTTACAGACGCTCCCTGGGCGGTTTCTAGGCTCCCCCAAGCCCCTCCTCCGGCCTCTTCCCGATCCTCGGACCCTGGCCCCGAGCCGAGGAGGCGGCGCGGAGAAGGGGTCGCCAGGCTTCCCCGGGTGTTGAACTTGGAGCGGGCGCTGTGCCCCTAATTTCCCGGGGATTCGGCGGGGCAAGCTCTGCGCTCAGGATGGGGCGCTTGTTGATGAGAATTTCCTCTTTCTTAAAAGGGCAACGATGCCAGTGGGGCCCTCCAGGAGGCACGGAATGGGACGGGTCGGGCTCTGCCAGAGCGACCAGGGAAGAGGTGACCTGAGCGAGAAAGCCTCCAAGTCCCTTCCCGGGCCTGGCCCTGGAGAACCGGGGGCCACGCGAGC